TCCCCCCGCCGCCCGGCGCCCGGGCGGGAAGACCCCGCGGGGACTGCGGTGCGCCGCCCCTCTCCGCCGTCGCCCCGGGCGGAGGCCCTGGGCCGCCCCGGCTCGACAGTCTCGAGTGCCTTCCACCCAGTCACGCAGCCCTTCCCGCCTCCCCCCAGGCCTCGGTAATTTTCCCCGTTCCTCCTCCGGCGGGTCCGATCCGCGGTCGGCGCTTCCTCCGGAGAAGCCCGGCGCCGGGAGCCCCCTGCCGGCCACCCTGAGGCGGGCCTCGACCTTCCCACCCGCCGCCTAGGCTGGGCCTGCCAGTCAGGGCTGCGCGGCGAGCGCAGAGGAGGAGACGTTTGAAGCCCCCGGTGCAGCCCCCGGGGAGAGGACCTCTTGAAAAACTGGGTTCCTTTAAGGGTGAGGCAGACAGGCTGGCAGATAGGCCCAGGTCCCATCACTTGAGAGGGGCGGACCTGACCCGCTACCTGTTTCTGTCTCCTCCTCTGCCAGTGCACGAAGGCATGGGGGCGGGGGGGGGGGGGCTTGTGGACCGAAACAAGTCAGCGAAGATTGATTTCCAGGGGCCGTGACCACCGAGACGGAGTTCCCCAACCGTCTTCAGATGGACGCTTGGAGTCGTTTGACTTAAAATAACGTGACACTTGTGCTGTGGCTATTGGCCACGTTCCTATCCGCGTTCTCCCGGCCCCACTTCTGATGCCTACTTTCTCTGCAGGTGGCGCCGAGATCCCCGCCACTTAGGACAGAGGTGCTCGAAGAACGACAGCTCCGGAAGGGCTTGAGGGCTGAAGGCTCCTGCCCTCAAGGGGACCCGCGCCTGCTTCAGGCTTCTGTAATCCCCATTATTTCCGAGGCTCGGATTAGAAGGGCAGAGAGGAGGGTACCCTGGCATGGCTGGCGACGCTGCCTGGGCTGGATGCACTCTGAGTTCCCCTCTCTGTTATTGCTCTCTGACAAGCCTTTCGCGTCTGTGAGATTCGGGAGCCTCGAGGAGCCAGTGTCCTGCGGGGATGAAAGAGCAGCGACGTAATGGGTTTACCCAGGCGCTGGGTCCGGAGAAGCCCCCCAGAGATTAAGATTTGCTCCTTGGGCCTGAAATCCCCCTGCTACCCCCTGCCCACATCAAAGGATACGACTGGGGGGAAGGGGGAGCGTTAATCCCATCAATGAAATCAGAGCTGGACAAGAAAGGAAATTCTACAAATTTGGGAGAGCCACAGGCAGGTCGCAAGAGAAGGACAGTATCTTGGGCTTTGGCTTCTCTTTACGTGACATAAACAGACAGGGCAGGTCCATTGCTTCTTAGGGTTGGCCCTGTAGGGAAGTTGCGTCAGGCAGTGGGGATTGGTCCTGCCTCCAGGGCAAGCAAGGGACCCAGGGAAGGCAGGGACTCCCCGAAGGTCACAGTCTGCTGGTTCTATCTTTGCAAGGGCTCCTGATGCCCGGAGCACCTCCCTAGGCAGATGCCTCTCAGAGATGATGTTGGGTTAGAAACAGCAGCGAACAGCCTTAAATCTAATTGTTTGAAGTACTGCCATCACCTAGTGTCCAGAGAGAGCAAAGAGTTACAAAGAACCAGTGACCTTGGACAGCACTGGGCCCTTTTTGTTGCTTTTTTTTCTTCCCCTCACATGTAGCAATTTACCTTGATCTCTTTTCTTGGCTGGACAGTTTTGTGAGGGAGAAACTTCCAAGGCCAGAAATGAACTCTTTCTTGCAGGAAATATCACTGGGATTACTAGTCTTGTCAGCATGTGGAACCTGTTTCAATTCTGCCCACGAAGCCTTGCCCACATGCTTTCCTCGCTGTAGGCCTCAGTTTCCTCATCCGCAAGTGGAGAAGCATCTCCCTCTGCGACTTCCTCAGCTTGACTGGATCTAGCGGCAGGAAGGGAAGGGTCCTTAGAGCTGACTGCTGCTTGATTTTGCTGACTTAGTCCACACAGAAATGCTGCTGACAGTGGGGTGGGGTAGGAGAGTGAGGATGGGGTGTGAGAGGAGTAGGTGTTCCAGGCACCTCACGCAGGAGCCTCTGGGTGACTTTCTGTGGACAGAAGTGTTTGGAAGGTTCCAGAGTCCTTGGTTGAGGGCCAAGCCTTTGGCCAGAGTTCTGTAAGTCTCTTCTCTGCTCTTGTCATTTAAGACAGTTTTTTTGTTTTGTTTTGTTTTGTTTTGTTTGTTTTATGGTACTGGGAATGGAACCAAGGGTCTCATTTTTGATAAACAAGTGCTCTAGAGCTGAGCTGTATCTTTGGCCGTTAAGACTTTTTTTTTTTGAGACAGGATCTCTCTGTGCAGCCTTGGCTGTCCTGGACTCACTTTGTAGACCAGGCTGGCCTTGAACTCACAGAGATCCACCTGCCTCTGCCTCCCTGAGTGCTGGGATTAAAGGTGAGCACCACCACACCCGGCTGAACATTTGATCTTTCTGCTTCAGCTTCATAAGTAATTGAGATTACAAGCGTGTGCTAGTAGGCTGCCTGGAGGCCTGGCTGAATCTTGTCTTTATTAGCCCCCGACACTGTGTGTGTGTGTGTGTAGGCGGATAGGTCACTGTGACGTATTACTTTTTAAGAAGGGTATACAACTATCCACAAGGCTCTCCCCTCTCAGAGCCCCCTGGTCCAGCTCACAGCCGGTGATGTATGGGGGAGGGTCTTTGGCCCTGTCCACACCTGTCTTCCACGCTTCCCGAGTGTAGGACATGGGCCCCTGGGAATGCAAGCTGTGCTGCATGTCTGTGTCTGGTGATTGTGGTAGCTATCGTGCTTTCCTATGGAGAAGAGTTGTCTGTTAGACAAGTACAGGGCCTGCTTGGCCCACAGCTAGGAAAGGGGTAGATGCGAGCGTCAAGTAACAGGAGAGAAGCTTTTCTAAGAAAATGTCTGCTCACTTTCGGAGGGCTAAATCAGGGGACTGGAGACGAGGCCCGGCCGTAGAGTGCTTGTTAAACATGCACAAAGCTCTAGGATTGATCCCCAGCCCCACCTAACACCAGGAGTGAGGTAGAAGGGTCACAAGTTCAAGGTCATCCTCAGGTTGGAAGCTAGCCTGAGATACACGAGTCTCTGGCTCAAAAACAAAAAACAAAAACAAAAACAAAAAAAAAGAAAAAAAGAAAAAGAAAAAAGACTTTGGGTAACCTTGAAACCATTCTCTTCCCTTGTCATTTCTGAGGCTCTGAAATGGCCTGACTGGCTAGTGGCTTTAGGTTAGCTTTTGTCCCAAAGGATGGGCTTGGACCTTCAGAGTCTGCAAACTACAACCATCTGCAAAGAATAATTATTTATATCTTTATTCAAAAATGTATTTGTCCTGTGGGTTGTGAGAGTTGTATAAAAGGAGGAAGAAAAGTAGCTCTGCCCCCTTATACAAACGCCGATTCACGGTGTTTGAGTATTCAAGCTGAGTGGGATGAAGACAAGCATGGTGGAAACACCTGCGCCTAGAAACGGAAGGAGGAGAAAAATTCCACTGGTTGACAGAAGCTCGAAAGATCCAGCCATTAAAAAAAAAAAGAAAAATAGGCAAACAGACACAAAGGAGAGTAACTAGCACCTGGGAGCACTGAGAGCTCAAGCCAGACTTAGACCCCAACTCAACAAAATAAGTGATTACTACAGAGGCAGAGAAAAAGGCTGCTGGAAGGGGCCATTTAAAAACGGCTTCTAAGCATCCGTGAAAAGTCTTTGAGTGGGCAGGGACCCCTTAAAACTCAACACATCTGCCTGTTTTGAATCATTTGGGGATCTGGATTTCTTTGTACAGTAAACGATTTGAGATTATGTGTCTCCAGGGCCAGAATATTGGAGTAAAACTCACAGCAGAAGACGTAAAGGGCACAGTTGCTAAATTCTGCTTTTTAGTCCAATAGTCTTCTCTCCCAGGAAGAGAAAGGCTGCTGGTAAATTGTACTGCTTTCAGTCTCCTGGAGGCCACAGGCCCACAGGCCACTGTGGCTCTCACACTGCACGACAAACACCGGGTGGCTTGTTTAGATCCTGGATGTATCATGGGAGTACCATGGGAGTGAGAGAGGCTAGAGCCGGCAGCTCTGCTCCTGCCATCAAGGAGGATTTTGACTGGATTGCAAGGGGTCACAGAGTTCCTACAATGGGCTCGCAAAGGCTAAAACTGGTGATACAGTCATAAAAAGGTTATGGGGTACTTGAGGTCCCTGGCTTGGCTCTAGCTCTGAGGTAGAAACCATAGAGCATTTGGAAGAAACCTGTCTTAGCTGGGCAATGGTGGTGCACGCCTTTAATCCCAGCACTCAGGAGGCAGAGGCAGGTGGATTTCTGTGAGGTCGAGGCCACCCTGTTCTACAAAGCAAGTCATCATGCTGGGTTTATGGTGTGCTAGGGATCCAATCCAGGGCTCTGTGCATTCTAGGCAAGCACTCTACCAACTAGGCAAGCCCCCTCCACAGCCCTGGGAAGCATTCCCCACCCCCTGCCAGTC